CCAGTCTCTGTGGCCGGCATCTTCAGAGGACAGCACTTTATCATTAACTCTGTAGTGTAAACAACATTTTCCATGTCATGCCTAATGTAGAACTCTCTGGCTTTCTCCATAATCCAGCGCATGTTAGCAATTTAGTCTCTAGTTCCTCTGCCACTTTGAAATCCAGCTTGTACCTCTAGGAGTTCTCAGTCCACTTACTGCTGAAGCCTGCCTTATAGGATTTTGAGCATAACCTTGCTAGCGTGTGAAATGAGTGCAGTTGTATGGTAGTTGGAGCATTCTTTGGCACTACCCTACTTTGGGATTGGGATGCAGACTGATCTTTTCTAATCCTCTGGCCACTGCTGAGTTTTCCAAACTTGCTGGCATATTGAGTGTAGCACCTTTACGGCCTCATCCTTTGAATTTAAATAGTTCAACTGGAATGCCATCACCTCCACTGGCCTTGTTGTTAGCCATGCTTTCTAAAAAAAAGGATCCTCTAGGAAACCTCAAATCCTGAAAGGGAAGGGGGCAGGAAGTTTTAAATTAAATTAAATTAAATTAAAGAGTAACATTGCCAGATAATAACATCATTCTCATTGTGCAGTGTAAAGTAACTCTAACTGGATTTCAGCTAAAGGTTATTATTCTCATGAGTAAAGTGTAGGCAGGAACAGGATAATGTCATGATGACAACAAATATGTCTAGGTAGAAGGAGTTTTTATACCGGCCATAGCTGAGAATGTGCTAGAAGCTAACAAAATCCATACTTTGGCAAGTATTTTTCCCCACACCATGAGGTAAGAAGAACAGTGTTCGGGGTACTGGTTTTCCTTGTTTGGAAATGCAAGGCTGATCTCTGTCTGAAGCTCAAGTACTGTTTGCAATTGATTTTGCCAAATCTCTACACCAGATGGCCCAATAGTTGCCTTCAGCAGCCAGCAGCTTAACATCTTGTGTAAGCTTCTGCCAGCACTTCAAGGCACAGTCCATGAGAAAAAGCATTCATGTTTGCATCAATTTCATTACATTAACGATTAAGCAAAAGGTGCATATATCATTAATGGCAAGAATCAGCAAGTATAACAAACTTTAATCTTCCCATTGTAAATTCTTTGACACTGTAATGCACTGCCAATAAATGTGTTATTTACATTTCCCTCATTTGTATTGGCAGGTGCTTCATACGTTTAACTAGCCATATCAGAAAGAGGGTTAAGATTTTATATCCTAAGAAACCTACTATGGGTATAAACATAATTTTCTTACAGAGGCAGAAGTTTATCTCCCTGAGCAGAATTTAGTAACATGCACCATGTAATTGGAAGTAATTTGGTCTTGTGACAGAAACCATCAGCAGCTTTGCTTGGTAAATTAGTCACACAAAGGCATTCATGTCAGGAAATTTATTTCCAGCTTATTGAATGCCAAACTGAGAGAAGATTAAGACCTAAATCGTTTTGCAGTCTTCTGTTAAAATAATTTCTGCTTTTTCTACCACTCTCTCATTTGGTTTTCTATAGGTTTTCTATGGAAATTCAGATAGAACATCCTCTGTGCAGAATCTCCTGCGCCCGCCCATTGTTGCCCGTTACATCCGATTAATACCGCTTGGTTGGCATGTGCGTATTGCTATCAGGATGGAGCTGTTGGAGTGCTTGAATAAGTGTGCTTCATAAATGTATGATAGTCCAGGAAAGTGACTCAATATTAGTAAGGCATAAAACACATATTCAGAGAAATCTGTTTCTTGAAGGAATGCTCCCTCAAGTGGCAAAAAAGGTGTAATTCTGAAAACATGTTAAAAGAGAAGACCACATTTCCTTATTAACTCTGTAATGTAAACAACATTTTTCATTTCATGCCTAATTCCAGACTCACATGTAACAATGCAGCTTATGTTGCTGGAGAGAAAACACTGTAAGAACAGGAAAGATACACTTCTCTGAACTTGTGTTTTGGCTCAGAGATGAAATGAATAAAATGAGTAGGTTCTTTCTGTATATAGAGTAGGATTTCAATGCATGGTGAATACTATAAGTAGTCTCCTACTACCTGCTGTTCTAAAGTTTACCCCTATAGTTTTGCCAGATTTTATGGAATTCTGTCTCAATAGATATGCACATGCACACACAGAGAGGAACAATGACACAAGTTGAGAGAGAATGAGGCCCAGATGACTATTTGAATATACAGTCAGTGCTGCCATAAATCCCTGCCTACACTTTCATTTCATTATTTTATTTACAGAAAGCCTTTAGCACACGTTCCCAAAGCTTTTGTGAGAGGACTGAATGTACCAAAACCACAGCAAGACAAAACAAAAGAAAGAGAAGAATGTTTTCGACTGCAGTTTTTAAACCATTTCTCATTGCACCCCATCTGCCTTTGCCGATGCTGATAGACAGATAACTAGCCACTTGCAGTCTTGGGAGCCCTGCTTTCAACAAGAGAGCACCTGCCTCCCTGCAAGGTTTTCAAAGCAATCTCAGCCCTTCTTCCCATTTCAGTCTGCTTTGCCTCCTTATAAAAGACAACGGTGGTGCTGCTTTTTGTAGGAAAAGAAAACACGGGAATAGAATTTGTTGCCATCCTAGCCTGGGATGGGATGAGATGCAAAAGCCTTGCCTGTATTATTGGATAGACCCACCCAAAGTCCTTGGATTTGGAGTTAAGCCAGACTAGCTTGTGTTCATGCTTTCCTGGAAGATTGGATTTTGCTTTGTTGTTTTTGGGGGCATGTGGGTTTTTTTCCCCCAGTTACCCAAAACTAGAGAAAGCTACACTCTCATGCATGTGCTCTGTTTTCTTCCCGCATTTCATGTCAACATTGACCATTGAAGCTGCTTTTTATTTAGAAGAAAAAAGCTATGAGTAAAGAACTCACAATATGCATACTATTATTGTAACTTTCAGGTGGTGAGATATATTAGTCTATGGAGGCAGAAACAGTCTCACTGCCTATTGAAGATAGTATATTTATTAATCCTCAAGGTGCTACAAACTTAATTGCCATAGTAGTTCCCTGTGATTTAAAAATAACCCCCACCTTTTATTGACAACCCAGCGATGCGTGACTAATGGAATGAAAAGGGCTTAAATACGGGATTTTGCTGACATAAGGAAACAATATGTGGGGATATAGTCAGAGAATGTGGTATCCCCAACCTCTGAGCCCTTTATGGCCAAACTTATACTTCCATCTTTTTAATATCTGCAATATCAAACATATTAAAAGTGGCTAGATTTTAACATTCATTTTAAGTTCTCTCCCCCATTTGTTGACAACACAGACTTGTAATTAGTGGAAGTCTGATCCTGCTGGAGAAAGGAGTATTTTTCTAACTGTTGCTCCTTCATCTGGCAACACCAAGCACTGCCTGAAAATCTGCCCCAGAGTGTTGAGGTTGGAGAAGAGGTAGGAAGAAAAGGGAATCAGTCACTGGTTCTTAACCTTAGGTTACTCAGGAGTTTTGGACTGCAACTCCCAGAAGCCTTCACCACCAGCTGTCCTGACTGGGGTTTCTGGGAGTTGCAGTTCAAAAGCATCCGAGTAACAAAGGTTAAGAACCACTGAGTTAAACCAACTTTAACCCACTGTGCTCTGTGGGGTGCATTCCCTGGACTTCAGACCTTTGCAAGAATGGAAGATGCCTGTTCAATGAATCACCAGGCTTGGATCCAGCCCAGAAAAAAGTAACAACAAATGTTCCACTTTTTGTTTTTGTTTTTAATTACCAAAATAAGAGAAAAGGGCACATGTGACTGTACTTTGTAATTTGATTGTAATATTCCTGAAGACTATAATCTTTTTCCTGGTAATGAAAAATTCAACACACTTTTTTCTGATTCACACAACCATTAGGACACAGGTAGCATCATGGTTTTTTTCCCCAGCAGCAAGAAATAACTATCTTGCTATTAACACTTTTAATTATCATCCCCCTGAATCACTCCATATAGATCAAGTAATAATAGAATGTTGTGACTTTAAGAAAAAACAAATCTAATTGTAGAGGTGTCCTTGTTTTATAACAAAAATATAGAAGCTTTATGGTAAAGTAAAAATTTCAGTAAGTGTCTCAGCAGGTAGAAAACTATCATTGTAGCATGGGTGAGATTTAAATGAGATGTAAGCATACAGAAATGTGTAAATAATAAAATTCCTTTGTTACTTACATGTGCTAATCATAGATTACTTATCTTTTCACTGTATGTGCTTTTGACTTAAAACTATACTCAATAATAAAGCCAGAATTATTTTGATGATTTTGTTGTCTCTTTCATACTTAGTTATGATCATAAACATGTACTCCCAAAATGCAGTGTGGTCACAAGCCAGCAGAGCTAAGCACACTGAATTCCAATCATTTCTATGTTTGGTGGGGCCACAGAACTTTTATCCACTTGAAAAAGCATCTCCATGTGATCAGCAAGCAGTCACAAGTTCTGCTCTCAGTAGCAACATAATTAGTGATGAGCCTAGTTCTGAGCTGGCATCCTCATCCTTCACTTGCTCTGGTGAGCTGAATTGCATTCAGTTAAACTATGATTTTCTTGAATTCCATGCAGGCAATGATAATGGAATGGCATGTGATGCCTGTTTAATGAACAATGTTCTATACAGCTCTCTGGCAGGGCAGTACCTACAGGCATGGAGCAGGCCTTGGCACAAGAAGAGAGGATGGAGGAAGGATTGAGATGCTACTTGAAAAGACAGTGTGTCCTGAATACATTGCAGCTGAGGACAAAGTTTAAACCACTTTACGTCAATCAGAGCAACAGAAATGGGTTTATGACCATAAATAGCTATGTGACCCTACATGATTTCAGCAAACCTAGTGTTTGATGCCAAACTTGCAGTCAAGGGGCTCTTCTGATTGTCTAGTCCCATGTCTCCCCTCAGTTACACCAAAGGCTGCAGGAGAAAAATCATTTTGCAAAGCAACAGTGGCAAGGAGGCAATGCTGTTGCCCTCCTGCCCCACCCATAGGAGACAGAATACGATTCCATGCAGAACCAGCTGCACAGGCTCAGCCAAATGTTGGCCTCTTTTTGAGCAGAAGGCCCCCGGCAGTACAGCAAATGCCACTTGAAACCTGAGTCAGAATCCTCTTTGCTTATGGCAATCGCATAAGGACAATTGTATAAGGGCAAAGGCAGAAAGGCTTCAGCACATTCCAGCAGGCTGGTCTTTGCACAAGCGGTCATGTTCTGGTTGTGAGCTCTGGCACACAACAGGTTGCATGAGGGACACTGCACCGCAGGAGAAAAAACAATGTGATTGCCTTGATGTGCACCGTTTCTCTTTATTGGATTTCAGCCTCCGAGTTACTTAAAAAGAATCTTGCAATGTGAAAGGTGAGGGTGGCTCTATCCTTAGGCAGAGCGAGACCACGTTCTGGGGGAGGGGCAGTCTCCTCTCTTGAAAGACAGAACGGCATGTCTCATGCAACGAGGCCGCATGACCAAAGGCAGCCTGTTTCCCTTTGGGGCAATGGAGGACAATCTTCTGTTGCCACTGGTAAAAGCAAGATTTCACTCTAGTCCAGTTTACTTTTTTATGGAATCAGGACTGGAGGTTGAGATATTGTTATTGTCCTTTACCAGGGGTGGCAACAGAATATCTTGGGCCAGCTCTGGTTAAGAGACGGAATCCAGATTTTTAAAAGACCACGGTTGTGTTCTTATGATTTAGCCATTCCCTCACAGCACTCCCCAAAGTATTCACATTTTTATCTCTGAGCTTGCATCTTGTTTATCTAAGGCAGTCTGGGGTTAAAGCAGCTGCAAAATCTGCATCTCTTTCAATTTTAATGGAGGTGGCTGGAACAAATTATTTCAAGGCGAAGCTTTCTGGCATCCAAGGTCATACATAATATATCTGATTCATAGATCGGAAACATGCTAATTCTTTGAGCTCCAGTAAGTACAATTTCCCTCAATATCTTACCTGAATTGTCTAAAAGTTACAGCTTCTTGTAATGCCATCCGGGCTTCTGGGCTGTCATACTGATTTGTAACTACAGTGAGGCAATTAAATTTACATTGACAGAAAGCTATTATTTGTACCAGGTGTAGTGTAGTGTAGTGGATAAATTGTTGGAGTCGGACTCAGAAGACCTGGGGTTGAATCCTTGCTCAGCTATGGAAACTCATAGGAGCAGGGGGAGGGGGTGGCAGTCTTAAAACTACTCCTTAATATCTCACTTACTTTGTGGACTCAGGAGACCTGGGGTTGAATCCCTGCTCAGCTATGGAAACTCATACGAGCAGGGGGAGGGGTGGCAGTCTTTAAACTACTCCTTAATATCTCACTTACTTTGAAAACCTTATTAGGGTCGCCATAAGTCGGATCAGACTTGACAGCTGGGAGAAGGTCACCTTGAGTGTCCCCAGCAGGCCATCTGGCCCAGCCCTGTAAGCTCAGGGGAACCCAGGAGAGAGTGAGTCTCTTGGGCTCCTAGCTGGTGGGGACACACAGGACAGGTGGAGGATGGCACAAAAATGGGAACGAGAGGGCTGGAATTGCAGAGCTCAAGGTTGCTGTCAACCATGTTGGATGAAAGGGAGATGTGGGGACAGGGAGTTGAGCTCTGGGATTCCATCTTCTGGACCTCAACAGAGGTGCAAACAGGGATAGAGGACAATCGGAGCCAGCAGTATCCTAGACTTGGCATCCTCACCACCCGACAGGTGCCTACCCCCAACCCAGCTTCGGTGCTGGAGACGCACATGGCAGCAGGTGTATCAAAGGAGCAGCACTATGGAGCCCACTCCATACCACCCACCTTTACCAGCCTTCCCTAAAAGGACTGCCTCCTGGATCAGGACTTACACTTCCTACCATTTCTCTGGACCTGGATTTCAGCAAAGTCAACTGGGGCCCTATTCAGACTGTGCCCAAGGAGTTAGTACCAGACACTCAGCCCCCTGGGAACATGGGGGAAGGAGCAGTTGGGGCTGACTATGTGCCTTTAATAAAAGCTGTGGGTGACCCACAGCTTGGTAGACTGTACCTCTGGTCCAGATGTGCAGCATCCAGATGTGTAGCAGCAGGAAGTGGCATTCAAAGCAGGAATCGATGCCCAATTGTCTTCTAAATTGTTTATTTATTTAAAGATAGTTTAGCTAGTTCAGCGGTTTTACTGACTGATTTTATTATTTGTTGATATCTATTTGTATATTTTTTTGTATTTATTATTTTTCTGTTTGTATGTTTTGCTGTAAACCACTGTGCACTACAGGGCAGTATAGAAGTTGAACGAACAAACAAACAAACAAACAAACCAACAACCAACCAACCAATCCATGTCATAAAAGAGTTGGAAAGTCATGAATAAAAGGCAGCTTTAAACAGTTCTTTTTAAACTAACATCTTAAAGAGTGCAAGGAAAGGTGGCTGGCAAACCTGTGATGGAATTTTATTCTGGAGGTGTGGGGCCATGCTGAAAAAACCCCTAGTTCCTGATGTTTCCTCTTTTGACTTCCCTTGGTATTATTGTTTCTAGCATTAAAACGTAAGGATACAACAAGTTCATCACCATAGTGAACAAACCCAACCCTTGATCCCATTCCTCACTGCATACAGGAGATATACAGCAGAGCTGTACATGAAGCAGTTTTTAGTAATTTGGCTTGTTCTGAGTAGGTTGCATGATGCCTAGGGGATTCTGAGGGTTGTAATACAAAATTAGTTTTCTAAACTCTCTGTTGCAAAAGTGTAGTGCTCTAGCGGCAGAGAGCCTGCTAGGTTTATTCTCTTAAAATGTGCAGATTTTCGAAAGTTCCAACTGCTTCCACACAAATAATTGCAGACCATAAAGCTCCAAAACAGCATATGTGCAAGGAAATCGAGGAACAGAGCACAGCTTGCAGAAAATGTCAGAAAGTGATGTCAGAAAGTCAATGCTGAGCTGCATGTTCATGCTGGTGTTAAAAGGCATAATTAGGTAGAGTGCTGAAATACCAAGAACCTGCCTCTTGAATGAAACTGTGAAAAGCTAAATCCAAATATTAAGCACAGATATAGAAGGCCCATCAGCCAGTGTTAATAATCTATATCCAGATGACACACACACATCCCTCTGTCACACGATCTCTGCTGATCTGTGGCTTTGCATAGCATTGGTGCCTTTGATAAGAAAGAGAGGATGAATCTGCATCAATATGTCAATACTGGAGAAGTACAGAAGACCCTCGCAGTGCAGTGGTTAAATTGCAGTACTGCAGTCAAGACTCTGCTCACGACCTGAGTTCGATCCTGATAGGCTTAGGTAGTTGTTCAAGTTTGATTCAGCCTTCCATCCTTCCAAGGTCAGGAAATTGAATATACTCAGCTCATGGGGGGAGGGGTCATGTGCAGCCTGCATAATTAAATTGTAAACCATCCAGGGAATGTTTTAAATGCAGTGGGATGGTATAAGCGGAACTATAGCCCAGCAGGATGGAGATGCAGAGCCAGGGGACATAACTTC